AAATAGGATGGAGGGAAATACAGAGATAATAATAACTGTGAATGTGAATGGAATGAAGTCTCCCATAAAACAGATGCAGATAGCAGAGTGGATTAAAACCACATTCCTACATTATGTTGTTTACAAGAAACACATCTAAAGCAGAGAGATACACACAGAGTAAAGGTAAAAGGCTGGAAGAGAATATGTGATGTGTCAGCTGAAATAAAAAAAAAAGCTTTCCCAATAAGATCAGAGGTGAAGCAAAGATGCCCATTATCATCTCTGTTATTTAATATTGTACTAAAAACATTAGCTTTAGCAATAAGAGATGAAAAAGAAATTGAAGGAATTAAAATAGGCAATGAGGAAACAAAACTATCACTCTTTGCAGATGATATGATGGTATACTTAGAAAATCCTAGAGAATCAACTAAAAAACTACTTGAAGTAATTAACAACTTTAGCAAAGTTGCAGGACATAAAATAAACTCACATAAATAATCAGCATTTCTATATACTACAAACAAAGCCCAGCAGAAAGAGATAGAAAGATATATTTCATTTAAAATAACTACATACAATATAAAATATTTGGGAGTCAACCTGCCAAGACAAACCCAGGAACTGTAGGAACACAATTATAAAAGACTTTTCACATAAAGAAAGTCAGATCTAAATAATTAGAAAAATATTAATTGTTCATGGGTAGGCCAAGCTAATATAACACAAATGGCAATTCTTGAAAAATTAATTTACTTATTCAGTGTCATACCAATCAAACTACCAAAAATTATGTTATAGAACTGGAAAAAAAATAATAACGAAATTCATTTGGAAGAACAAAACATCAATAATATGAAAAGAATTAATAAAAAAATGCAAAGGAAGGTACCCTAGCCATACCAGATCTAAAACTAAATTATAAAGCATCAATTATCAAAATTATTTGGTACTTGTTAAGAAATAGAGCAGTGGATCAGTGGAACAGGTTAGGTATACAAGACACAGAAGTCAATGACTATAGTAACCTATTGTTTGATAAACCCAAAGACTCCAGCTTCTGGGATAAAAACTCACTATCTGACAAAAACTACTGGGAAAACTGGAAAATAGTATGGCAGAAACTAGGCATGGACCAACATCTTACAGGGTATACCAAGATAAGGTGAACATGCATACATGATTTGGACATAAATGGGGAGATCCTATGCAAATTAGGAGAACAGTGAATAGCTTACCTGTCAGATCTATGGAGAAGGAAAGAATTTATGACCAAACAAGAGACAGAGACATTATTTAATGCCAAATGGATCATTTTGATAACATTAAATGAAGAAGATTTTGCACAAACAAAGCCAATGCAACCAAGATTACAAGAAAAGCAGAAAGATGGGAAACAAAATTTACTACCGACATTTATGATAAAGACCTCATTTCTAAAATGTATAAAGAATTGAGTCAAATTTATGAGAATACAAGTGCTTCCCCAACAGATATATGGTGAAAGGATATGAACAGGAAATTTTCAGGTAAAGAAATTAAAGCTATCTATAGTCATATGAAAAAAAGTTCTAAGTCACTATTGATTAGAGAAATGCAAATTAAAATAACTCTGAGGTATTACCTCACACCTATCTGATTCGTTAATATGACAAAAAAAAGGAAAACAATAAATGTTGGAGAAGACATGGGAAAATTGGAACACTAATGCATTGTTGGTGGAGTTCTGAAATGATCCCACCATTCTCAAGAACAATTTGGAACTATGCCCAAAGGACTATAAAAATGTGCATACTATTTGATTCAGCAATACCTCTGCTAGGTCTATATCCCAAAGAGATTATAAAAAAGGGGAAAGGACCCACATGTATATTTATAGCAGCTCTTTTTATGGTAGCAAAGAATTGAAAACTGAGGGGATATCCATCAATTGGGGAAGGGCTGAACAAATTGTGGTATATGGATGTAATGGAATACTGTCCAGTACTATAAGAAAAGATGAGCAGGGATTTCAGAAAAACCTGGAAAGACTTACATGAATTGATGCTGAGTGAAATGAGCAGAACCAAGAGAACACTGCACACAGTAACATCAGCATTGTATGATGATCAGCTTTGATAGACTTGGCTTTTGTCAGCAAGACAATGACAAATTGTATACAAATGCAATTCCAAAAGACCTATGTTGGAAAATGCTATCCAAATCTAAAGAACTATAGAGTATGAATGCAGATGAAAGCATACTATTTTCACATTTTTTACTGTATTTTCTTTCTTGTGATTTTTCCCTTTTGTTCTGATTCTTTTTTCACAACATGACTAATGTGAAAATATATTTAATATGATTATATGTACAATGTATGTACATACATAACCTAAAGCATAACCTTCTGCTCTCTTGGGGAGGGAGGAGCAGAAAGAGGGAGAAAATACTTTGGAACTCAAAATCTTACGAAAGTGAATGTTGAAATCCACATTTACATGTAATTAAAAAAAATACAATTAAGTGCAAAAAACAAAACGAAACAAACAAAAACAAAACAAATAAAAAAAACCATGTCAATTCCTCAAGACTCAAGACAAATCCCACTATCTTGTGAGGTTTCTTCTGATCATGTTAACTGCATGCGATTTCTCAACTCCTACAGACTTCCTTTCCGTTATACCCATTTTGATCTCCTCGTTGATTACTTTATATCAGTCCTTATTCTTTGGTGACAAGGACCCTCTGCTATAATCACAGAATGACTGTATTTGTAAAGTGCCCTGAAAGGTTATCAAATCTAATCTTTACTTGGAGAAGCTACTTATTTCCTTTCAATGAACACTGATTAAATGCCTAAGGTGTGTAAAACATTGTAGGAAGTTTCTATGATATCCTCAACAAGTGTTTGTTCAGGCTTTTCATAACAACCTCCAGTGACAGGTACTCACTACATTATGAGGCTGCTTCTCACTTTTTGGATAACTCTCAACAGGTGGGAGTCCTGACTTTTACTGAGCTGAAACCTGCCTTCCTGTACCTTCTAGACCCTGGTCCTACCTCTGTCTTCATTTCTCTCCACTCTCCACTGTTGATTTTCTTCTACCACATCTCAAGAACCCCTGCTTCCTGGGAGCTCAGTCCAGCCAAGGAATTAACACAATGGAAGCACCCTCCACTTCCAAGGCCTTTTACTTAGATTGGATGGCTCTTCCAAGAACTTCCATTTAAGGAAGGCACTCAGGCTAGCAATTTCTTCATTCTCCTCTAGGCTGCATTCAAAATGTTCTCTAATATCTTCCCCAAAATCCAACTTTTCACTTTCTTTTTATGTGACTTATTCCCCTTGGAGAGTATACGTTCTTAGAGCACAAAGACTGTCTTTCTACTTTTATTTGCCTTTTTCCAAAGGGTTCAAATATTCAATCTACAGAAGTGACACCTTAATCTATATATCCAGATATTAGGATAAGCTTAGAAGATGTGAAAGATACTATTAAAAGTTTGTTTGAAAAAATCCAGGTGCTTTGTGTAGATTGCACAAAAGTAAGTTGCTGCTGGGGCAACAATGACACAGTGTGTAAAGCACCAGGCTAGTGATCAGAAAGATTCATCTTCCTGAGTTCAAAACAGGCCTCAGACACTTACTAGCTGTGGGACCCTGGGCAAGTCACTTGACACTGTCTGCCTCAATTCCTGATCTTTAAGATGAGCTCCAGTGGGACATGGCAAACTACTACAGTATCTTAGCCAAGAAAACCCCAAATGGGCTCACAAAGAGTCAGACACAATTGAAAAACAACTAAACAAAAAAGTGACTGCTTTTAATCCTGTTCCTCAGACAGGCACTCATTTCAAAAAAAAAGAAAAGGATTCCAGCCCTGCTCCTGATTCGGCACAGACAGCAAGGCATTCTCTTAAATTCAATAGTCTATAATCATTCTCTTCCTGGGACATTTTCCTTGTGCTGAGATAAAATACCTGATCCAAGTCTGACCCATTTAATTTCATCTCCTCTTTTCTCTACTGGTCCCTTCTTTTCTCCTTTCCTCAATAACAGCTGAAATCTCCCCTATTAGCTCCATTCTCCCAGATCCACCATCTCCCCTACTCTTCAATTTCTTCCTCCATCTACTGGCACCTCCCAAACATTCCCTTGCCTCCAGCAAACTCTCCTCATGGCCCAGATGCTCTTCTCCAATATCAGGGAAGAGTGACTGAACTACACTCCTCCCGCCTTGATTGTTAGGAAAAATCATAGAGGTGACCTTCCCTCCCTCTCTCAGCCCTATTTCATGACTGTGACCCAATGGGATTTTCTTATCCTAAAATTAAAAGGCAGCAAACAATCAATAAACATTTATCAAGTGTTTATCACATACCAAGCACAGAGGCTGCTTGGAGACAATAGTAGTTTTCAGGAAATAACAGCAAAGATGAACTCCAATGAGACTGAGCAGTCCACCCAGACTTACTCAACAGAAGACTCAAGGCTCTTTTACTCCCCAGGTCTCTAGAAATAAGGACTGGGGGAGGGGGCAGCCTGCTTAGAGGACGCTTTAAGGCATTAAACTAAGGAGTATCCTCATAATCAGGAGACCAACAAGGCAGTTCACTTCTGTGTAATGTTGGGTATAGTACAGCCAGTAATCTGTCCTTTCTACTCCCTCCTTAATACTGGACAGGATAGCACCAAATCTTTCCCAGACCTTTCCTATCTCCTCCCTGGGAGTGTTTTAGCACATGATCTTTGTTTTGTTTTGTTTTGTTTTTTTGTTTAATCACTTCTCTATCCTTCCTATCCCTCTTCTTTAGGGAGATTTAACTATTTACACTTTATCATGATAACTGGATTGATTTGTAGCCTAAAGGTGAAATGATGCTTCCCCCCCCCCCAAGCCCAATTAGATACAATCTGCTATTTTACTGAATTTCTATCAGTCAGGCAAATTCTTGTCATTCCAACAAAGGTCCAGGATGACAGATGGAAAAAAAAATAACTGAGCTTACACTTATACACTGACAGTTGTACTGACCTGAGGAATCTGGAAGAACTGGAGCAGGAACTAATCCAAGATCCTCTGTAGGAAAGAAAAGCAGAAGATAATAAGAGACCCATCTGGTGCATCAGTAGATAGTTGGGAGATGAAAGTAGGAATGGAGCTGAAGGACAGCATTCAGGAGCAGATTTCAGTTTGGCCTTGAGGAGTTGGAATGAAAAGTGCTGGGTCTCAGCACCACAGACTCCACAAATAGAAGCTTGTTGACTGATACCAACACAATATTATGATTTGTAAGCTTTAAAAGGTTAACTATATGAAACAGTGAATCAATTAATCACCAGGCGTTTATTAAGCACTGACTATGTTCCAGGCACTCCTATACTAAAGGCATAACCAGGAGTTCAGGAGAGAGAGAGACCTCTGCAGGCTGAGGGGCTGATTTGGGTCTCAAAGGGAGTGAGAGGATCTTCTGCATTGCCCAGGTGGAGAAAAGAAAGAGGATCTAGGCCCTCTTGTCTCCAGCTGAGTAGAAGCTTGGCTTAATGTTGTTATCCTGTAGGTTCTTGTCTTTGAATTCTAAGTGAATAAATGGGTCGGGAGAAGTCCTAGAAGAGGATTCCAAGGAAGGAAGGAAGAAACAAAGGCAGGAAGGAAAAAAGGAAGGAAGGAAACTTGGGGGGCCCTGCAAGTGGGAGGGGGAAGTCCTAGACCTCAGGTGGACCCTTACCCTTCTTGGCTCGCTCCCACAGCTCCAACAGGCCCATCTTTTCCCAGATGTTCAGAGCAATCTTCAAGGCCTCTTGCTGCCTATGAGAACTGACCAGGAGATCGGCCACTTTTCTGTGATCGGCCCCCTCGAGGGAGCCCCTGGGGAGATTGTCCACCAGGTGCAGCTTGAATTTCTTCAGCTGTTCTTGAGTCAGGTGTTCCAAGTGCCGAACCAACCAGCGGTGGACAGTCTGGGCCATCGCAGCCCCCTCTGCTGCCCTGCCTCAGACTAAGTGCTATTACAGGGAAAAGAAAGTGCAATTCAAGAGGTCCCACACCTTGTGCAAACAGCAAGGACTGGGCCCCACCCCAGACCTTTGGACTTTCCCCTGGCCTAGACTGCTGGCCAAGGAGGAGGGAGGAGGAGTCTGATTGGGCTCAGGAGCCAGGCTTCTTTTTCTGAGCTTTAATTCTTAAAGGCCTGGACTACTCCCAGCACCTGGTCAGAGGAGCCAGGTCCCTTGGGATGAAACTGGGGAGTGGAGTCTGTATGACTCCACTGTATGACTGCCCAGATATTTGCATTTTCCTTCTTCCAGACTAGCCTCCAGCCTACATCAACCTAATGACTTGGAATTAGAGGTCCTGGATTCAAATCCCACCTGTGACAGTTATTGCCAGTACCAAGTCACTTAACCTATATAGGCTTCAGTTTCCTTATCTGTAAAATTCAGGACAAAAATTAGACTAAATGCCCTCTGAGATGCCTGCCTTTTCAAAGATAATATTTGTAAAGCATTAGCACAATGCCCACCATATAATAGGGGCTTAATCAAAGTTAATTGAATTGAATTTCAAGATGCTTAATAAAGGTTGTTTCCTCCCCCAGCTCTAGATCTGTGATCCAACGTTCAGTTAGTTCTTTCCTGAAATACAGATCACCCTCTCCTCTCTGATAATGGGCATCCTTCTGATTTCCTACTCTTCCCTGATTACTGTAACTAATATTTCTAGAGCTAGGTAGGAGGTCATCTCTGAGTTGAGCTTTGAAGGAAACTTTGTATTCTCATTATTTAGCATAACAGGAGTTGCTTATGGAACAAAACTGTATGTAAACCAGTTGTTCAGTTTCTTCTGACTCTTTGTGACCCCATTTGGGATTTTCTTGGCAAATTCCAGCTAATTTTACAAATGAGGAACTGAGGCAAACAGGGTTAAGTGACTTGCCCTGGGTCACACAGCTAGTAGTAAGTAAGTGTCTGAGGCCAGATATGAACTCAGGAAGATAATTTTTCCCGAGTGTGGAGTTGGTGAACCAGTACTCTATTTTTCCTACTTCCTGCTTGATACTCCATAGGATAGCACTGAATCTTTCCCAGGTCTTCCTTAACTCCTCCCTGGGTGTGGCTTAGGACATAATCTTTTCTTTGACCATATCCCTCTTCTTCCTATCCACCTTCTCTGGGGAGATTTAACCACTTATACCTTATCCTGACAATTAGGTTGATGTTTAGCATAGAGGTGAAATGATGCTTTTCCCCCCTTCCCCAAGCCCTCATGGACACACTTCAGCTGTTTTACTGAAATGCTCCTGTCTTTTTACTGCCTTAATTAATCTTAACCCTCAAAGGTCCCAAGAGACAAATTTCCCCCCCTGCTAGAGCTCAAGACGGAGCCTTTACATCTCATTAGATTCTGAAAGGCATCACTGGCCTATGCCTTTGACTGTGGTTACTGACCTGGGGGAGCTGGAAGAGCTGGGGCAGGAACTGATTCAAGATCCCCTGTAAGAAAGAAAAACAGAAGACAATGAGAGACCCGTCTGTTGTATAAGTAAATATTTGGGTGCTGAGAGTAGGAATGAAGCTGCAGGAGAGCATTAGGAAGTAGATTTCAATTTGGGCCCTGAGGAGTTGGAATGAAGTATGCTGGGTCTCAGCACCACAGACTCCACAAATAAATGCTTGTTGACTGACACAAACACAATAATATAATTTGTAGCTTTGTACTTTCTTCTGTGCCTTGGGGTTGGCCAGGTTGGGAAGAGGGTGTGTTTCTCTAGTCTTTACTGTTCCCTCTGCCCAGGAGACTCAAAAATCTCTCTCACTCCCAGTCTGGGTCTAGTGGCGCAGAACATGGCTCCACAGACTGGTCTGGTCAGAATTTAGGAAAACATTTGGGTGGAATAATTGGTGACTGTGAATACATACATATGTATGTAGATAAAAACATATTTATACACATGTATATCATATACATGGATGAGTGTGTGAGGAAGTGTGTGAAAGTAAGAGTGCATTTAAATTATGTAATGTGAGATTGTATGAGACAGACAGATGGGGGGGAGAATATGCTATATACATGTATTGATCTCTGTGAACATGTGACTATATTTTCATGTTGTACTAGATATGAACAGGAAGGGGTCAGAAACATACAAGTCATTGATGGAAACTAGGAAACAGTTTCCTGACCTGAGGGACCAAGAGATGATAATGTTGGAATCAGGAGCAGGGTTAGTGCCAATATCAAAAAATAATCTAAGGGGTAAGTGAAAAGACTTGGCCTGGAAGACAGGGATTGTGTTTCTTTTGTGTATTTTAGTGCCTAACCTGTAGTGGTTAAGTAATAACTATTTGTAGACTTGGGATGAGTAAAGGACAAGGTTTCAAGTTTTCCAGTTTCTTCAACTTAGTGCAGTCAGATCTTTTGGATGTGTGTTTATTTTTATGCTGCGTGATGCAAGGCCAGTCCCTTTTTCAAGATCCCTCTAAATTTGGCCTGGATGCTCCTATAACTACTGCTATGACATTGTCTATTAATGATGGCAGGCACCATTCCTTTCCCCAAGGGGCTCTCCCCCATCTCAGACCCACAGCATTTAGAGCTGTCATGAACTTGGGATCAATATAGCAACAAGCATTTATTAAGCAGCTACTATTTGCCAGGCTCTGTGCTAGGTGCTGCGTATATAAACATAGAACTTAAAACAATCCCTACTCTCAAGATTATATTTTAATCCATATATGGATAGAGGGTAACAGCAAGGAATCATGTGTTTCCAGAATGAACAATTAGGACTTTTTTTTTATTAATTGGAGCAACAATTATCCAAATATTCAAGCAATGTTCTTTGAGACCAGCCAGGAATTCATCTAATCTAACTGCTTAATTTTACATATAAGGAAACTGAGGCCCAGAACAAATAAGAGAGTCAGGCAACATTCGTGAGGTCTTATGACTATAAATCTAATGTTCTTTCCACCATACTATGCCACCCTCTAGCTCAGGGAAGTGATGTTGATAGAAAATCTCTCCTACCTGATTCAAAGGCATAAAGGTCATATGAGGAAAAGCGTTAAGTGTGTGAAAGTATGAGGGCATGTATATGGCTATAATGTGACTGCATGTACAAATATATACATATATATACACACATACACGAACAGAATATACATACACATATGTCTGCATACATCTGTATATGTGCATAATTACCAAATTCCATCTACTAGATCATAAAATTTCCACTACTACCACTACACTACTGAGAATAACAATTGATTTTTATATAGCATTTGAAAGTTTACAAGGTGCTCTAGGTCCTGGAGGTCACTTCAATGTCTTCTACAACCCAGTACGTCTTCAATGGGAGCAGATAGAATTCTAGCATCTACAGACCTGGATACCTGCATGGAGTGAATGACTATCTAGGCTAGAAGTTGCTCTCATTAAATTACTGCCACTACCACATGAATACTAAGAAGGGCCCATATGACTTAGACCACTGGTTTCTTCAAGGACCTCTCTACATGGAGATTCCAGGTGCTCAGCCACCACTGGGCCCCAGCTTATCAGGGCCTTGTGGGACTCCATTTATTTATCCACTATGTACAGGGTTGTCTGCCTACAGTGTCTCTTACTGTTCATGCTATGCCATATCTACTACTGCAATGTATTTTAGGAGGTGAGTGCAGAATCATTGTTAAAGTGAAAACAATATTTAGAACGGAAGTGTTTCAAGTGTTTGAATAAATAGTCTGTTACATAGAACTCTGTGGTACTTAGGAGAGCAGAACCAATTATCCTGGTGACAGTGGATGGCAGTAATTAAACATTCAATTATTTCTGTCTGAAGTGGCCCTAGATTGCCAGGGACAGAGAGGAGCATGGTAAATCTTAATATGGAGATCAGGGAACAGGGTAGAACAAAATTCTGATGACAAACAAACAACAACAAAAAGAATGTTCCATGGGACCCATCATTACCTGGGGGAGAATAGGCTTGGTATAGCAGGGGCAATGGGGGAGCCAGGACAGAAACAAAAGGGAGCTTTGTGGGAGTGTCTACCATAGACTGATAGAGAGCCTTGTCACAGGGATGAAATTCCACTGCCAGCCAGGATCACTTATGGGCTTCTAAGAGTAATAGAAATCATGGGAGGGGTCCAGCACTTGGGCACAGATCTCATGACTGACAGAATCCCTGAGTGACGAGTGGCAGCTTGAACTCTCTTTGCCAATGGCACAACCACAGCACCCATTAGATCTCGCTAGGGGGCAATTAGACATAGGACAGGTTTTCCTAAATTGCACTTCCTGGTATGTATGCATACCTGTATATTTGTATGTATGTGTGTGTGTATGTGTATGCCTCTCTTCTTTGGATGGTATGAAGCTGGGCCTGGGTATATATAAGCTATGCCTGTTGCTGTAATAACCTTTCTCTTGGTCCTAATTCTACTTGACTGCCTAAAGTTTGACACTTCCAACCACCATTTCCCTTCTAGATAATCTCTCTTCACCTTGCTTCTAAAACCCTGCTTTCTCTTGGTTTTTCCACCTGCTCCTCAGACTGCTCCTTGGCTTTTAATGGATAACTATCCTTCTGCCTCCTACTAAATGTCAATGTGTCACTTGCCTTCTCTCTATATTCCCACAAAGATCTCGACAATTCCTATGCATTTAATAATCTTTATGCTGGTTTCTCACATATGTGTATCTATCACTTAAATAATCTGTATTTATATCCACATTAAAGGGGAAAAAAAAGGTTGTAAGTGGTCAGGGTTTATGGAAAGATGGAAATTAGTGCATATGTTCCATTTGGAACTGACTGAATCTGTCTCCAGTGTATCTCAGGTTTTGCATGGAAAAACTCTTCTCTCAAGTGATGAAGTGGGATGTACTCTGCATTCTCCTGAAAGATTCTTGGTGGCCTCTTCCCTCCAGAGAGTTAGGGTATTGGTCTATTAGTTACAGTCTCTATCATCCACAGGGCTTTGAATGATAACCAAGGCATAGCTGATCTTGAAGCCTCATTACTGTCTAGTTACTCCTCCTCTTCTCCTGCCCCCTCCCCCCCAATACCCCAGTAAGTTTTAGAACCTGACTTCATTATACTGGCTGCTAGGTGGAAGGGAAGGGTGACATAAACTGCTCCTAACCATACTGACAATATTTTTGCATGATAGACAAAGAGTAGATTCTGTGTATTGCCTCATGCTATTGTCAATATTTTCATGTTTACTGTTGCACTGGGTGTGCTTTCAATTTTATTCTATTGTTTGTTTGCTTGTTTATTTTTTGAGGGAAGACAATGAAAGGTGAAAAGGTAGAGTAGTAATAGAAGAGAAAGGCAGCACTCGACATGGAGTCAGGAGAGATCTTGGTTCAATCCTGCCTTCAACACTTTCGAGGTGGTATAGGGAAAAGACCACTAGCAGACAGAGATCTCTTCCATCCAGCGACTTCTCCTCTGGCATCCTTTCCACTACATCAACCTAAAGGCTGTATTAGATGGCCAAACCATATCACGTAGTACAAAAGAGAGCTGGACGGTTGAAGACTAGCTAAAGTGGAACTATGCCCCTCACCAAGGTGCCCTAGTGACATGGCACCCAACAGGGAGAAGATTTGGCAGAGAGTAGTACTAGATCAATCAATGACTCCTCCAGAGGACACCATCAGGTCTGAGTATTGGTAATGTTAACTACCCCTCAATATATGTGCTCTGATCAAATGTGACCCCATGTGAACATATTCCATAAACAACTCTTAGGCATTCCTACTTTTCTGACTGAGGGTGTGGATTTGTAGGAGAATGAGTTCCGTCTACATTACTGGTATTAAACTCAAATAGAAATTGAGGCTACTAATCTGTACATAAGGATCTTATGACTTAATTTAAAATATCTGCATTTTATTATATTTTAATTTATTTATTTAAAGATTTCCCAATGTCATTTTAATCTGTTTCAAGTTATACTTAGAAGTGTTGTGGGCTGCATGCAGCCTGAGGGTCACATTTTTGACACATTTATTCTACATTACTTCTTTGAGTGACTTAAGATTTAAACAAAGGGTATAATTTTGGTTAGTAAAAGTAAACACGATAATGAAGGGGGAGTCAAGAGCTATAGTTTGCAAAACAATATGAACTACATAGTATGTAGAAGCTGTAATGGCTTTCTGTTAGCCCATGAAGTTGTATATATGTATGTAAATGTATATCTTCATGTATGTCAGGGTTTATGTATATATGTGTGTGTATATTGCATGTCCATGCTTCAGTAGACATATATGTAGAAGAATATCAATTGGTCAATAAACATTTATTAAGGGTCTAGTATATGTTAGGCACTATGCTAAGTACTGGGACAAAAAAAAAGGCAAAATACAGTCCTTTCCCTCACAGAACTCACAATCTAGTTGGAAAAATTAGTAAACCAATATGTACAAATGAGCTACGTTTAAGCTAAATGAAAAATAATTTCGAGAGGGATGGCAATTGTTGCTATTTCCTATTTCTTCTCTCCTCCCTGATCCAGGGTACCTGAATATCAAGTTCTAGATGGGAGTGGCGATAGGCATACAGAAGTTATGGGCCAGCCCTGAACTCTCTGAATGTCTACGGAGTGACCTCTTGATAATGACTCATCAAGGTTTTGGGCAGCTAGGTGACACAATGGATGGAGTGCTGAACTGAAGTCAGGATGACTCATCTTCCTGAGTTCAAATCTGTCCTCAGACACTTACGAGCTGTGTGATCCTGGGCAAGTCACTTAATTCTGTTTGCCTCAGTTCCTTATCTGTAAAATGAGGTGGAGAACAAAAAGGTGAACCATTCCAGTATCTTTGCCAAGAAAACCCAAAATGGAAGAGTTATGACTCACCAACAAATGGTATTTAATAGAACCAAATTCTTTCTTACCCTCACTATTATACATGCCACCTGACTGACTTCTTGTCGTTTAGCACTCATTTTTAAAAAGAAAAGAACTTCTATCCTTGCTCCTGACTCAGTACAGACTCCAAGGACTTGCCTTAAATTCAGCAGTCTAATCATTCTCTTCCTAGGACATTTTCCTTGTCTTGAGATACCGTACTTGATCAAAGCCTGACCCATTTCATTTCATCTCCTCATTTCTCCACTGGTCCCCACACTCATTTTCTCCTACCCTCAGCTGAGACCATAGCTGAAATCTCTACCAATAGCTCCATTCTCCCAGATCTACCATCTCCCCTTCTCTTGAATTCCTTCCCCCACCTACTGGCACTTCCTGAACATTCTCTTGCCACCAGCAAACTCTCCTTATGGCCCAGATGTTCCTCCTCTCCAGCACTGGGGCACATTTGATGCACTCCTCTCATCCTGATGGTTAGGAAACAACACAGAACTGACCCTCCCTCCCTATCTCAGCGCTATGTCACATATCCCAATAGGATCCTCTTATTCTAAAGTCAAAAGTCAGAAATTATTAGATGAACATTTATTAAATACCTATGACGTGCCATACACTGGGCTAGGTGCTGGGGATACAAACATAAAAATTAATGCCCGCACTGAAGAAACTTACATTCTGTAGAGGGAAACTACTTGTAAACACAAAATCTATACAGAATGAATATAATGTAATTCTGGTCTGGGAGAAGTCCTAGAAGGGGATTCCAAGGAAGGAAAGAGGAAGGAAGGAAAGAAAGAAGAAAGGAAGTGAGAGGAGGAAAGAAGGAAGGAACCTTGGCGAGCTGCGCAAGCCGGGGGGGAGGGGAAGCTCCAGCCCTCAGGCGGACCCTTACCCTTCCTGGCTCTCTCCCACAGCTCCATCAGGCCCATCTTCTCCCAGATGCTCAGAGCCAGCTTCCAGGCCTTTTGCTGCCCGTGAGAAGTGACCAGGCTATCGGCCACTTTTGTGAGATCCGCCCCCTCCAGGTGCCCCCTGGGGGAGACTGTCCTCCAGGTACAGCTTGAATTTCTTCAGCTCCTCGGAAGTCAGGTGCTCCAAGTGCCGAACCAGCCGGCAGCGGGTAGTCTCGGCCATCGCAGCCACCTCTGCTGCCCTGCCCCATTCTAAGCTGGACTAGAGATAATGAAAGTGAAAATGAAGTGGTTCGGGGTGAGCAGCCTCAGTAGGTCTAGGCCACGTCCCTGAAACTCCGAGGAGAAAAGCTAGTACACAGCGCTGCCCTGGGAGTTTAAGATTTTCCGCCAGAAAGGGGAGGTAGGAGGAGTCTGGCTGGCTGGCTTCTTTTTAAGATTTTCCGCCAGAAAGGGAGGGTAGGAGGAGTCTGGCTGGCTGGCTTCTTTTTTTGACGGTTAATTCTTAATGGCCTGGACTACTCCCAGGACCTGGTCAGAAGAGCTGTGGCCTCTGGGAATGAGACTGGGGAGTGGAGCTTGTATGACCCCTGCATAGCCCAGATATTTGTATTTTCCTTCTTCCAGCAGAGCCTCCAGCCTACATCGTCCAAGTGACTTGGAATCAGAGGTCCTGAATTCAAATCCCCTCTGTGGCAGGTATTGCCAATATCGCCTTAGGCAAGCCACTTAATCTCCATAGGCTTCAGTTTCGGCATCTGTAAAATGCAGGACAGAAATTAGACTAAATGACCTCCGAGATGCCTGCCTTTTCACAGGTAATATTTTAAATCATGGGCAAAAAGCCTACCATATAGCAGGGACTTAATCATAGTTAACTGAATTGAATTTCAAGGTGCTTAATAAATGCTCATTTCTATTCCCCATCCTTTCAGCTCTGGATCTCTGATCCAATGATCACTTAATTCTTTCCTGAAATATAGATCTCCCTGTCTCCTCTCTGATAATGGGTATCCTTCTAATTTTGTACTCTTCCCTTATTACTTTCACGTTTCTAGAACTAGGTAGGAGGTTGTCTCTGAGTTGAGTTTTGAAGGAAACTTTGTATCCTCAGCATTAACCTGACAGGAGTTGCTTGGAACAACACATGTAAGTAAAGCAGTTACTCAGTCTCTTCCAGCTCTTCATGACCCGTTGGGGATTTTCTTGGAGATACTGGAGTGGTTTGCCATTTCCTTCTCCAGCTCATTTTACAGATGAGAGAACTGAGGCAAACAGGGTTAAGAGACATACCCAGGGTCACACAGCTACTCCAGACTTGAACTCAGGGAGATGATTCTTCCTGACTCCAGGCCCAGCACCCTATTCACTAGCTGCCCCATGTAAGTACTTGAGCTCTTTGAGTGAATCCAGAAAATTAGAAAGGCAGGAACTTTTTTTCCTTAAGTTATACCTAAAAAAACAAAGTTGCTTTTTTTGTTGTTTGTTTGTTTAGGAAATTGGCAGAAAACAAGATCAAAGAAGGGTTAGGAACTTTCCTTGAGGAGGATGGGAAGATTATAACCAGCAACAAAGAGAATGCAGAGTTAGTAAATTCTTATTATGGTTTTCTGCTGGGTCACATATGCAATCAATTACCAAATCTTTATGTTTCTACCTCCATAGCAGTTCTCACATCTACCTCCTGCTCTGCATTGCTACAACCCCCACCCTAATTCAGTCTCTCATATCCTCCTCACCTGGACAGGCAATAGCCTCCTAATTCATTTCTGCACTTCAGGTCCCTTACTTCTCCAATCTATCCTCCCCATGGCTGCTGCCAGTGATGTTCCTAAAACAGGTCTGTCTGTGTCACTGCTCAAAAACTCCACTGGCTCCCTATCGCCTCTAGGATGAAATATAAATACCTGTCTTTGGCACTTAAAGTCCTTTACAGCCTGGTCCTACTGAGGAAAAAAAAATAGTAATATTGTATGTTTTAGATGCAAGTCTGCCAGAACAATTTTATTTAAACTATCATTCTTCAGTCGAAGGTCTTTTTACATTGGAGATTGGCATTTTACATTTTGACTGGCAACAATCAAAAATTAATTAAAAATCAAACACATAATGAATCTTAGGTGTTTGTGACAGCACTTGCTTGTGTTGCCTCAATTGACTTCACTGCAGCCTTGGTTCTTAACCCACAACATACACACTTTGCACTGTGCAGGCTGTCACATCATGTAATTTCAACAAATGCTGCCAGAAACACCTTGGCTCACATTCAAGACTACTGTATGTTATGAATTACAGTGTTCTTACTGTATAGTTTTCTGCTCTTACAGAAACATGATAGTTTAATTATGGAAAATAAAGACTTTTAATATTTTCCTATCGACGTTTCTCAGCATGTAAGTATCGAATTAGTATACCTTTGGAATGTATTATATTGGAATATTTGATTTAAAAAATTTCTGTTATTTCCTTATTTTACAGAAACATAAGTGTTTAATTGTAGCAAGTAAAGACAAAAGCCCTTTAATAATATTTCTCCACTATCACTGCTCTATGTGTATGCATGAACATCAATTTTTTTATTTTTATTTTAGCTGAATACTAAATTATATTGGATACTAAATATTTAAATATTGAATACTAAATTAAATATTATTTCATAATAATTTGTAATTATATTTTATATAGTTGTCATATTTATATAATATATAATATTATATCATAATACATTATATCATAATACATATTTATAGTAATAATTTAGAAAAATTAAATATATCGAATGCTAAAATTTAAATACATAATAAGAAACATTATTAACTTAAATATTAAAACTTAAATATAAAATGCAAAAAGAAAAAAAGTCATGTGAACAGCAAAACATAAGAGAGGATTCAAAATGTATACCAATAAATTTCCATTTCAAAAAAACCCATAAATTAAATACTATGCATTGTGTTGAAAGCTGTCCATCTTTGCTTCCTTATAGGTTTTTTTTTTGTTCTCTGCTGTACACTTTTTTACTTTGTTCTTTTTTCTTCCTTCCTCTCCCTTCCCTCCTCCCCAGGCTACAAATAAGCATGGACATATGTGTATATAGATATTGATATATACATACATGTATACACATATACACATACATACATATATAAACATATACTTCCCTAAGAGATTCTAATCCTAAACTTTGTTTTTATATTTGTGTGTATCTTATTTCCATCCCTCCTGGCTCCTCTACTTTACTTCTACCAGTTACCTTACCCTCCTACTACTTAACTTACCCACCCTCCAAGGATTCCTCCCTTATTCTCCCATTCCCTTAAATATAAACACCATTTGTAGGCCCCTTTAACCTATTCCTCACCCTCCCCTCTAAAGATCCCTCACTTATCCTCCCATTCCCATTAATCTAAAATCTCTTCAGAACAAATTTAGACAGAAGAGGTAAAAATACTAATGACAATGTGGCAGAATCTTTGCTACCAGGTTGTAGTATACCTAAATTGATAAGAAAAAGAAAATATGTTGAATCATTTTTGCAATATAGATTTACTTCTAATAATGATGGTGGTGTAGAAAAACCTCTTGCTTAATTTGTAATGAAATTTTAGCTGCAGAGAACATGAAATTAGTCAAACTAAAATGACATCTTAACACCAAGTATGCAATTTACTGCAATAAACCAAAGGAATATTTTGAATGACTTTTAAAATCTTCAAATAAAGAAAAACAATGTTTTGAAAATTTTGTTATTGTCATCAAAAAGTATTTACTTGCATCTTACAAAACTTCTTATTTAATTGTAAAAATTAAAAGCCTTATGGTATAGGAGAAGATCTCATGTTACCTGCTGCTATTAAAATTTCAGAAATAGTTCATGGGAAAAAGTATGGGGATGAAATTTTTAAAATTTCTTTATCGAATAATATTATTTCCAAAAGAATATCTGAAATTAGTGATGGCCAGTTCCTGCAGCTCATTACCAGGCTTAAGGGCAGCCCAAAGTTTGCAAGTCAGTTGGATGAAACAACTGATATTTCTAACATGGCAGAATTGTCACTTTATGTAAGATGTGTTTAAGAAGGAAGCATACATAAGGAATTATTGTTTTGTCTCCCTTTGGAAGGGCACACAAGAGGGGAAGATATATATATTTTAAAGTTAATTAATTTTCACAAATTAAGGTTTACAGTGAAAAAATTTCACAGATGATATGCCAGGATGTTGGATTTGTAGCAAAGTTAAAGCTGGTGGCAATGAACATATCACTTTTACTAACTGCATGATCCATAGGGAGGCACTTGTGGCCAAAATATCACCAGAATTAGATGTTATACTTCCCAATACTATCAAAATCATTAACTTCATTAAAAGCCATGCCCTTAATAGTTGCTTGTTTTCAAACTTTTGGAAAGACGTGGATTCTGATTACAAAAACTTATTACCACATGCAGAGGTAAGGTGGCTCTCAAGAGGGTGAAGTTTAAACAGATTATTGAAAGTGAAAAATGAAGTTGTTATATTTTTGACTGAGCAGAAATCTGATTTTGTTATTTTTTTTTCTATAATGACTTATGACTTTCAAAACTGTGTTATTTATTGGCTATCTACAAAAAACTAAATGATTTAAACATGTCGCTTCAAGAAAAAAATTGCAACATGTTTATATTAAAAAATAAAATTGAAAGTTTTGCCAAAAAAGTTAACATATGAAAGAATAGGGTAAAAAAAAATGGTTCTTTAGAAATGTTTACAGCTACAGATGATTTTACAATTGAAAATAGTCTTCCCAAAGATTTACTTTTAAGAGTTATAATCAATCATCTGAAGCTCCTGGGGAATCAGTTTCAGAAATACTTCCCTTCAAATTTTAATTCTAAAAAAACTAAGTTGGGTTCATAAACCATACTCAATTGAAATTAAAAAATGCCAGTCATTTTCCATCATAAGTTCAAGAAAAATTTGCTGAGTTATCAAGTGACACAAGTTTAAATCTTGAGTTTCCTAAAAAAAAATCATTAAATGAATTTTGGCTTGAGATTAGGATAGAATTTCCAACAATTTCTGAAATAGCTCTAAACATACGTCTGCCATTTTGTACTATGTATTTATGTGAAACAGCATTCTCAGCATTGATGATTATAAAATCAAAATATTGATCAAATCTGAAAAATGTTGAATGTGTTCTATATCTTGCAGTATCAAATATTCCACCAAGATTTAATTCTTTATGTAAAAATAAACAAGCACATCCCTCTCATTAGTATGCAATCTTGCTTTCATGTTTAATAAATGGTAAAATTATATGTATACCAAAGAATTGTTTTAAAATAAATTTCTTTATGAATTATTATCAGTAAATGTTTGACTTGTATACCTATTATATATATCTGTATACCTGGGGTTATATAAAAATTTCTTGGCAAAAAGAGGTTACAAATGGAAAAAAGTTTAAGAAGCCCTGCTCTATAGAATGCAAGAACTTTATCATCGTGTTGCTCCTT